ACATTAGGATATAACTTTGTATTGGTAGACTAAATCAACTAGATCCTCTTCTCTTGTCCTGGTGAAATGGTCCCATGTGAGCAGATTTCCCGGTGTGGTATCCTCCAGATGAGTTGGACTAGAGCCAGTGGCTGTGTGAACTGGAAGTCATGCAGATTGGATTCTGGCACTTCTGGAAGGCTGTTGGTCAGGCTCTTTGAACCCCAGTCAGCAATTCCAGTGATGTTCTATTATGTGCAGGCAGCACAATGGGTAGGGAAACACACAAATCAGTGAGAAACTTGTAGCCAGCCTAATGGTTGATGTGCTGTACAATTACCTAGCACCACTTGCTTCCTGTGTGCTCCTAGAATGAGCTGTTTTACTTCAGCCTTGTAAATAAACTCGCAAAAGTTTCTAGCCTGCAAACGTTTGTTTTACCAGCTTGCTAAGTGGCTCACATCTTTTCTTCCTCAATGGGGGGTACAGAGAGTGGGTGAGCAGCCTCTTGGCAGACTAGTAAAAACAAAACCCAGCTTTCTCCTAAGTGGAGTGGCAGAGAAGGACTGTGTTGAAGAGTGGGACATGAAATGCATGCATAAATAAAAAATGTAGGTGCCACAACTGAAAAGGCCTTGTCTTTGAGATTCTCTTGAGGCTTTAGAAGCTAGAAGGGAATATTGGATGGGAATATTGTTTATTTGTTTGTTTTAAAGTAACCAGACCCAGGCAGCTTTTATGGGTGAGAACCTGGTCCTTGTGTACAGCCTGGAAACGGTTGGGTGGCCAGTAAGGACTGAATAGGACTAAACTGGTTTGTTGCAGCCAGCAATTGGCTGGCTGGCATTTTGGCAGGTTACTGCAGCACAGATCGGTTTCCACAGGTGCGGCTTTGTCACAACAAACAAAGCTATTGTGGCGCAGTGCCCATGGAAGTTCACTCCACAAAAGCTTGTGCCAAAGTAACGGGTCTTAATCTTTTATGATGGCATACAATTCTTTGTAATTTTGGCCACATGACTGACTGGTTGCTGAATGCAGCTGGTTTTAGAAACAAGCACACAGAAAATCAGGGTGGCAAGAAATAGGCTGGGCCTGGATCTTTCCTGCTGACTTGCTGCTGTGTTGTCAAGGAATGGCAGTCTGCAGTCGTGTCATGCTCGCAGATAGTATTACTTGCACACCTTGGTGAAGACTCGGACCACGTGGGGAGAGAGAAGGTGGCTCCGTCCAAGCTTGGCCCTTTTGTGCTTCAGGCAACTGACACAAAGAAGTCGTGCCTAGAGGAACCCACGTGTGGCGTTGTCCGTCCCAGATGGTGTAGGATGCCGGGCCCGGCTCACTCCCTCAGGAAGTCCACAGCTTCTAAAGGGGACCTTGCTTGTGACATCAGCGGAGCTCCTGAGATGCGTGGTCATGGCCTCCTCAACAAAGCATCGCGGTAGCCTTGGGCAGTAAGAGGAGCCAGTGGGTATGTGGAGATGGGCGCTTGCAATTCCTGCAGTTTTGCCCAGGAGAGTGTGATTCCCCTGCCTCTGCAAACTCTTTCCTGTAGGCAGCAGGCATCCTGTGCTGCCAAGGCATGTACATAGGGCAGTATGGTTGATTTGAATCCCGCCCTTTCCTGCGAGGCTTGCAACCCATGGAAAAATTATCCAGCTCATGAATGCGGTCCAGATTGCAACTTCAGATGTGCCAATAGATGTGCCATGGCCTGTTGTCCCCCTGCCATGCATCTGGCAAATCTGTGGGGCAGGGGACCCCCTAATACTGGCCTTGTGGTGTTTGCTCAGTTCAGAACTTATTGCTAAGCAAGAGCTTTCATGTTTGCAATTAGGTTAGAGGAATTTGCATTAGGAGGAGAGAACTTTGAGCATGGAGCTATGGAGCTTTTCCTTTGAAGAGTGAGCTCTAGGGAGTCTTTGGGTATGGAAACGTTGCTTTAAGGTCATTATCCAAAGCCCACCTCAGTGTTTGCTGTCAGACACAGCAGGTCGGCAGGCATGAAGGATGGGGTCTTTTTGGTTGTAGCCCCTAGGTTTTAAACTCCCTCAAGGTTCTGGGGAGTGCTGGCTATTGGATTTTATTACTGTTCTTTCAGGATGGGCTGAACACTGTTTCAACTGTAGTTATTGTTCTCTGGTTTTGTTACCTCATTGTGTGCAGTTCATTGTGTCTCTGGATCAGAACAGATTTTATTTGGTATGAGGTTTTCCATTGTCTAGAAGGGCACTGTCCTGGGAGGCAGTCTAAGCACCCTTTAAAATAATTTTAAAATGTGCTGCAGAGTTTTTAATGGGTTTATTAAATGAGCACCGCAATGAGGCTGAGGTTGGACACATGTGGTCCTTCTGGTCCTTCCCTTCCTGCTTCGAAAGGGACCTTCGTTCAGCTTTTGTCTAGTGGCGGTGCATCTCACCTAGCATTCTTTTTACCAGCCTTTCCCGAACTGGGGCAGTCCAGATGTTTTGGACTGCAACTCCCAGCATTCCTGCTCATTAGCTGCTTTGATTTAGGATACAGAAGCTGAAGTCCAAAGCGATGGGAAGGCACCAGGATGGGCTGCTTAATTCATATCCTGAGTCTGAGCCTGTTCCATATCAGGCAGATTTCAGGGAGGGAAACCCCATCCTTCTCCAAGGCAAGACATGTGCGCTCCGACTGATCTGGGACCACTCCCCTCTCTTTGTTCGGTGCCTCACTGCTGTTATCTTAGAACAACCTTCTACCTATTTGAAAAGGATCGCTGCATTCCTCTGTCATCCTTCCCACCGCCTTGTTTATTTTTTGAAAAGCATATTGAAAATGTTTGCCTGCCAGCCCATTTGCAATAGATTCAGAGGCAAACAGCAAATCTATCAATAAATATTTGAGTAACTTTAACAGTCACAGGAGGCAGCCAGAAAAGCCAAATGTTACTCTTGCTTGCTGTGGAGTGGGCAGATTTTGGGCTTGTGGGATTTATCTTATCTAAATACATACATACATACATAAAAACTGTGCATTCTCCCAGCTGGAATGTGGAACAAAATAGTGTCTTGGGTGTGGCTGGAATGAGTTGCAATGTAATGGGTGGCAGAACTGCTTACATTCTGCCTTCTGGGAGGCGTACGCAGGGATGAGATGCCTCCAAAAGCCAGGTCTGCATTCGAGAAACTACCTACCTGAGTTAGACTCTACTGCAGAATTCCAAAACCAGTCAGCAGCACTGCACAAAGACTCGCTCAAAGACAACCAGCCTATGCACTGATTTATTTGCTATATTCCATGCACCTTTTTCCTGCATGGAATTCAAAGAGGCTTGCAAAATGCTCTTCTGTCTGAGCCTTACAACGACCTGGTGAGGAAGGCTAGGCTGAGAATCTGTGACTGGTCCAGAGTCACTCTGTGACCTTCAGGCCAAGTGGAGCGAGAAGCCACATCTTCTGAGTTCCAGTCGAGCACTGTAGCCCCTAGGACACAACCGTTCCTCATCTGTAAAATAAGAAAATAATTGGCGTTTAAGCTCAGTTTAACAAATGTACATCTGCCTTGCTGTGATTGAATTGTTGGGGACTTGGAAATCCTCATGTTTCTTCAGCTTATGATCCGGAGATCTGTATTACGACTCAAACTACTTTCTCCCCGCCTTGAGTTTACAACAAAGAGCATGAACAGGCTGACCTGCACAATAGGCTTAAAAAACAAAACAAAACAAAACCTGGAATCGTGAGATCCACCAGAGTCTGGTGCAACAGCCAAATGCAGCCCCAAAATTTGTTTGAGGCAACAGGGTTGCATTGACAGCCCTCCATAAGGGTCTGACTCCTTCCGTGTGAAGGGTCCTTCCACAATAAAGGAGCAGCGTGGGGTGAAGGTTAGGATCTTGGTCTGGGACTCAGGCGATCCGGGTTATAGTCCCCTTTTGACCATGACATTCTCTGGGTGAGTGTAGACCAGTCTCTGACTCTCAGCCCAGCCTATCTCACAGGGGTGTTGTGAGGATAACTTGGAGAGGAAGGGGGTCTTATGTAAGCTGCATTCCTCCAAAGGATGATGGGTAGGTTGTAAATAAAGCAATGAAATAAAATAAAATGGTAAAGTTGTCTTCATTTTCAGCAGTGATTTTGTTGCTGCTGTTACTAAATGCTCTTGTGAACTGGAGAGCTTTGGCTGTTGAGCCCGATAGACATAGTATTGCTACTGCTGCTACTAAAAATGCCCCTTTTGCAAATCCCCTTTTTACAGTATAGAAAAGAAATGTGCCTTCTTTACAACAGAGATTCCAAGACGGTGTTCGTTGGCTGTATTGCTGATACAATTTCAACGTTTGTTTCTTACCACCGTAAACATTTTCATTTACATGAAATCTAATCCTTTAGGTTTCCTACCTTTCTCCCTCTCCAGCTAAAGTGACTGACTCTGCATTTGTTTTCACTGGAATAGACAGTAGCTGCAACGAAGGGAGATGGTATCTGCTCAATTGAATCCTTTCTAGAATCGAACTGAAAGGGTTTGTTTGTGTTGTAAGCTCCATGGCAACAGACTATGGTCAGTTTCCTTGACAGCCTTTGACTGGAAACAGGCCAAGTGATGACTTGAACTTCTTTGGGTGTCTTTAGGAAGTGAAGTTTTCAGCTTAAACTGAAAGCAAGTCTTTCTGGGGAATGATTAATTTGCCTTCTCTAAAATGGTGTGCATCTCTTTAGAGTAGCCAAATCTTTGACAAGTTTTATTTTCATTGAGTTTGGGTGTGGCTTAAGAAAACAGGTGAACAAATCTCGTAAACGTAGCCTCCTTTTTTTTAAAAAAAACCAGAGTGTATGTGTTTACAGCTTCCTTATTGAAGGCTAAATTGATGAAAAACATCTGCCTTCTCGTTTGAAGAGTAATTTTATCTTTCTAGTTGAAAGTACAGTAGATGACTTGTTTATCTGGAACACTCTTTGAATAATTCAAATATAGCTCTCCCCCAAACTCTGCTTTTTAATCTGGCATCGCACATCGTCATCCAATAATTGTCTGATGTTTCTCTGTTTCAGAGTGATCGCCTTTTGATCAAGGGTGGTAAAATAGTTAACGATGACCAGTCTTTCTATGCAGATATTTACATGGAAGATGGATTAATAAAGTAAGTACCCAGAAATTTTGTTTTTCTAGTGGGAACATACGAGGGGTCTTCAAAAAGATTCCACACTTTATATTTTACATATTTTTTGCTGATGGCATTAAAAAGTTGGTATGGAAAACTGGAAAAATGCATCGGAAAGGAAGGTGACTTTGTAGAAAAGTGATGCGCTTTGTTTTTTTAAATTCTTCATAAATGGAGTTTTAAAAAAGTGTGGGAACTCCTTGAAGACCTCTCATATATTGGAAATGTCAGATCCTATAAAATAAGCTGTGACTTAGCCACATGGCAGAGTTTAGGGCAGGAGTGTTGGGGAGTTCTTCAGATGTTGTCCTGCAGTTTGCGTCAGTTCTCACTGGTCCTGCCAGTGCTAGGAAGTGGTGGACTTTTTGGCCTGACGGCATCTGGAGGCTACATGTTTCCCATCACTGGTGCAGGAAAAACAAATGACGAGAATGCTGTAAGGCTGCAGTCCTCTGCATGCAGATTTGGGAGTAAATGCCGCTGAGTTCAGTGGGGTTTCTTGCAGCATAACCATGCAGAAGACTGTACTTAGCACAGGCAGATTCCAAAGTGCTGCTTAAGGTTTGACTGCGTGGCTGCACCGTAACCAACGATGGTTACACAAATGCCTGTGCTCTGTGAATAATGTTTTCAAGCATCCCCGCACACCAGGGGTGTGTAATCTCCTTTCAGCACAAGGCGCTGGGTCTGCCTCCCAGTGATAGATGAGGCGAGATGCAAAAGGCACATATCTGAAGTCCAAAGTATATTAGCACCTTTGAGTTTTGAGGCCTGAGACTTAGGAGAAAGCAGCCTCTGAGAGCGCCTCTAAAATGGAGCTGGGCTCTCGGGCTAGAAGATCATTTGCAGCTCTGTTTGCAAGCTGTGCCAACACAAGCAAGGAATGGGCCACTCCTCTTGCATCCCGACCTGACATGCAAGAACCCAGCTTGGCCCCTATTCCTATGGCTTTAAAAAGGAGTTCGAACAAATTCTGGAGGAGGAGTTTATTAGTGGCTCCAGGACTGGGATGCCAAATATTTGCTCTTGCACTGGGGTAGGCACTTCCCCACTAGTATAGATTGATTCGTCTTGCAGCGTTCCCTTCACTGCTGAATGTGTGTGTGTGAGTGTCCTGTTTCTTTTTTAATGCTCTCTTGTGTTTTCTGCAAACTTAGCCACCTTATCTACACCAGGCATGCACAGCTTAATTTCTAGGTGAAGAAATCAATGTTCACATTGCCTCTACTTCTGCTGAAACCTATCCCACACTCCAAAACCTGCCCTCTTTTGAAGACCCTTGGGGAAGTGTAGGATCCAGCTGCATAAATTAAATGGGGAGTTAAGGCTGCATGGAATGTAGTCCAGCCGGTGGGGCAACGTGGAAAGCACCATCCGTTCTGCCTCTCACACACACATACACTCTCTTCATCTCAATATGAGGAAAAAATCCCGTAATGATTCTGGGTCTCTCATCAGTTCTAACTTAATCCAGCCTCAGGTTTTCACTTTTGTTGTGGCCTGCTGGTGAAATGTGTTCTTCCTTGATTGTTAATCTATCACAGGTGATGATACAGTCAAGCCTTTTGTATTTGAGAGGAAGTGTGTATGGCACCTGTTTGGTTTGGGACCATCTGGCACTGTTGGGGGGTGAATTAACCTTGACCTCCTACCAGTTTTCCTCCACAAATCCCCCCATTCCCAAATGGAGGTTTCAAAAAGATGGGGAAACGCTATATTGGCATCATTGAGGCCCTCTCTGATATCTATCTATTTATCTATGGCTGGGTGTAGTGAAGGGGAGATTCTGTTCTTCCATTCTGTTGTGTGTATGTTTCAATCTTCATTGAATCGTGTGCACTTAGTCCAGTGTGATAAAAATGCAAAGACTCATTTTCATGCTATGCAAAAGAACGTTTTCACTTCTTTGCCTGTAGTTAAGTCTTGCTCCTACGACAACATATTTCACTGGATCTTTCCCCCTTCCCACAGGCTGCACTCCTTTGATCAGATATTTGAGATTGTCTGATGTAATGTAAAGTGGTACTTAATTTCTGAGTACAGAATTACCGTTTTGGTGTAGAGTGGAGTTGTGCAGTTCTGGGGTGGGGTGGGGTGGGGTGGGGGACTGGAAATGAGGAAAAGTCTTTTTTTCTGATTTTCTTTTCTGTAAAAAAACTCCTTCCCCCATTTTTCCATGAAAAGGGTCGTCAGATGTATAATTGCAGCCCACCTCAAATCCATTGACTTCCGTCTGTATCTGCATTAGATTTTGAGACTTTGCATGCCTCCAGCGCCTTCTGACATAATAACTCTTCCGGAGTTCTTGGAATCAAAAATTACTGTGGGGAGGAGAGAGGATGGAGGAGGGCCGCACATGGACCGTTGCCTGTCTTGGCAACACGTCCTTTGCATCTGTTTTGTAACTCCAAATGCAGAGTTGGAGGCCATGGTGACAAAGACATAATTGATGATAATGTGCCATATGCAGCTTCATTTAAAAACAGCAGCAGCATCAAAGCCCTTAAAATGAGTGCTTGCTCTGCAGCAGAAATTTGGTAGTAACCATATGTCTAGATTGCGAGTGCTTTTCACACGAATGGTTTCATGGAGGCCTTTCCAGAATGGCTTCAAGCTCAAACTCAACCACTTTTCAGCTGAGGAGCTGTGCAGAGGACCTTCTGGGACCTTCATGTTCAGCAGTAGATGATGCCAGAGCACAAACTGGGCAGAGCCAAACTCAAAGGTAGGTGTGGCTAACACCACACCGTATCCTAGGCACGGGCATTATAGCCCATGTGCATCACATCCAAGTGTTAGCATGGCTCACAGATTAATTCAAACATTTTCCGCCCGGTGACTCTAAAACGATAAATTTGCTCCAAGCAAGGAAGATCGGATTGATGGAATATTCAACGGGATAGCACACATTTGCTGAAAATGAAAGTTTTTACTCGCAGTGCCATTTCAGTTCCTTCTTTGAGAGTCATGCTGCATGGAAACAAAGGGTGTGTTTGGACAAACCAAGCAACTCTCCCCCTACCCCCAGTGCTTCAGGAATCCTTAGCTCAGTATAAGTTCACTTCTTCGTGGTCTCTCTGCATCACACCTGGGCACCTGCGCAGAACTGATCGTTGGGAAGCTTCTATAGCTAAGCTTTCAATGGGCAGGAGCCCTTCTGCTTCCTGTTCCCACTGGTAGCTTGGAGAGAGTCTCCTGCTTGTCCCTTCCGGTCCTTTTCGACTGCTGTCATACCTAGATCGGGAATTGCTTCTCTCCTACCACTTTAGTATTTACTTATTTATTTAGACGACTTATATGCCGCCCCCTTCGCATATGCCTCGGGGCGGCTTCCAATCATAAATAAATTCCATATACAAATGCATAAAAAAGTGGAGACATCCTGGCAAAATTTTAAAATCAATAACATCAATAAATAACATTAACAATTAAAATAATGTTTAAATAAAAAGGTCTTGGCCTGGTGCCGAAAAGCAAATAACGACGGCGCCAGGTGGACCTCTCTGGGGAGCGCGTTCCATAGGTGGGGCGCCACCGCAGAGAAGGCCCTGCGGGTACTCACCCTCCTAATATCTTTCACGGAGGGCTCTCGGAGAAGGGCCTCTGCCGCCGTTCTCAAGGGGCGGGAGGGCATATATGGACGCAAGCGCTCCTTTAGGTAACCAGGTCCCAAGCCATTGAGGGCTTTATAGGTCATCACCAACACCTTGCATTGGGCCCAGACTTAAATGGGGAGCCAGTGAAGCTGACGGAGGACTGGGGTTATATGAGCACAACGCCCAGTCCCCGTCAGCAACCTGGCAGCTCTGTTTTGCACCAATTGAATTATCTGGACCGTCTTCAAGGGCGACCCCACGTAGAGTGCGTTACAGAAGTCTAATCGGGAAGTTACCAATGCGTGAGTCACTGTCGCCAGGCAGTCGTTCTCCAGGTAGGGGCGCAGCTGATGGATCAGCCGAAGCTGAAGGAAAGCGCTCCTCGCCACCGCTGTCACCTGAGCTTCCAATGTCAGCTCTGGGTCGAGGAGCACTCCCAAGCTGCGGACCCTGTCCTTAAGAGGGAGTGCAACCCCATTCAGGACAAGGTCAAGGTCCCCCACCCCGAAGCCCGACCCACCTACCAACAGGACCTCCATCTTGTCTGGACTGAGCTTCAGTTAGTATCCAGTATTCTTTTTCTCCCATTTTCTCACTTCCTTGTTAGAACATTCTTTCTCCCCTTTTTCTCTTCCTTCGATGAGCCTGTTTCACCCTTGTTACTATTTAAAAAATTCTTGCAAAAAGAAGAATATTTTTACCTACTTTTCTATCCACTGCTCCTCGTGTCCTCTTCTGAGTTGCCCTTGTCTTTTTCCTCTCCTTTTTCGCCTTCCTTGTCTCCTGCAATGGCATCTTTGGCAGCTTTTCAGAGCTGTACTGCCCGCAGTAGCAGGCTGCCTCCTTCTGACGGCTGTTCCCTGCGCCTTCTTTGTCTGGGCAAGGGACACGTGGAGTCCATGAAGGAGACCTGGAGACATGGGGTGGGTCAGCTCAAGGCTTAACTCAGGAGGAAGGCCCTCCAGGCCTTGAACGCCTTCAGAATTCCACAGGAGCATCTTTCTACTTCGGTGGCTAGAGAATCCCCAGCTGAGCCATAACCACCATGATGGCTCCATCTGTCAGGCAACCATGGGGCCAGGAAACCCAAAAAGCACTCCAGGAAGGTGGCTGCTGCTGCCATGCTCACACAAATGCCGTGTGAGTCCCCGTTGACCAGTGACCTTGACCATCTGGTCCCAATCACCTGCTGACCAATCACAGTCCTTGGTGGTGAGGGAGGGAAGCCTGGAGTGAGAACCACCAGGTCACTCGATTGCCAGTTGCCCTGGACTTTGGCACCTAGGAGGCTGCACTCCCACGAACTGACCCTGACGCCCTTGGTGACCAGCTCACCTCCCCACCTCCTGGGCACTCTCATGAGACTAATGCCACCATGGCTGGAGAATGGCCTTGTGCTTGCCAAACTGGCTTCAAAGCTACACTCAGGTGCCAGGAGGTGCTGTGACCGATCCTGCTCTCTCGTCGTTGGCTGGGCCCAGGCCTCTGACTGGTTGCCCTCATCCTTTCACTCCAGAGTTGAGTCGGGTTCATCCAGGGATGATGGCCACGGCCCCCAGTACCAGGTCAGTGCCGAGCCTAGACCACAAGCGATCAGATGCTGGGTGCTGCAGGCACCGGGGTGAGACTTGGAAGCTTGAGCTGGCGTCGACCCTCAACACCAGACCGATCGCAGGAGCGCTCCGTGCCGGTTGATCATGCGATGTGCCTGTTGGGTGGCTTCACAAGGCAACTGCGCATGATCTCATCCCTGGGACTGAAAGTCTCCAACTGTGAAGCCACCATGGCCCAACACCAGTTATTTTTATAGACAAAATGTCTGGCAGCCCCCATTCCTTGGCATCTGCTCCATACCAAGCCCTGATGCTGGGCCCCTGCACCAGGCCACCACCCGTCCTCAGTGGCAGAGCAGCCTGGGGTTTGGTATTGAAGGGAGGCCAGCCACCATTGCCAAGTTGACGCTGGGCCTTGGTACCTGGTTGGCACCTGGTACAGTGGATCTTGAGGCCCTGGGGTCAAGAACTCCATTGCCATCATCCAGCTTAGAGGACTTTGCATTGGATCTGTAGTCAGTAATTTTGTGGTCCTCATTGCAACTGTCCCTGGATTCAGCCGTGTCCACTCAAGACCCAGTGACTGCTGCAGGGGGATGTTTCTTGGGGCAAGTGCTCAGGATGGCCTTGGACCAAAGACTGAGCAACCACAGGACCAGGTTGCTGACCCAGCCTTTGGTGACCTGAGCTCTGAGGACCTGGCACTGGGGGGATCCCGTTTTGCCCACCCTGCTCCGCACAGCCAAACACTTGTGGAAGTCTCCTGCTGCATATCCAGGAGCTGGAGTTGACATCGTGGCTGCTGGGAAAGGATGTCCCATTTCAATCTCAGCACCTGAAACTGGATTCCGTGTTTGTCGAGTAGGCCCGGGATGTCACAGTGGGAGCGCTCCCTGCCGGTTGATCATGCGACATGCCGGTTGGATGGGTTCCCAAGGCAGCTGTGCATGATCTCATCCCTGGGACTGAAAGTCTCCAACTGTGAAGCCATCATGGCCCAACACCAGTTACTTTTATGAGACAAATAAGGTCAGGGGCATATTTGAGTACCTGCTGGACGACTTCAAGGACACGTCGCGCCTCCTCCACACTGCGGCCTCCAAGTTCCAGATTGCCACAGCCAGTCACCCACGTGGCCTGCTGTGCAAAGGCCATGATGGGCACAGTGGCCAAACACAGATATGCCTGGCTGCTGGTCAGCTGGTCTTTCTCAGGAGGTGCGCTTCTGCATTGAGGACCTCCCCTTTGATGGGAAGGGTCTCTTCAGTGCACCAACAGACAATGGAAGGACTCCATCCAGACAGCAAGGTTGATGGCCAGGCACCTGGGGTTCCAGCAGCCCACATCTAGGCCACGTAAGTGGTTTGGGACCTCGTACCCCCAACCACACAGGTGACACACACCAAACATCCCCACAGCCTCTTACCTGATTCCTCCCTGCATGGAGACATCAGACTCGTGGGTCATGTCCATCATGGGAGGAGACCACTGGATCAAGTTCAACACCCTTCTCTCGGTTCTATAAGAGGCAGATTGAGAGAGTCCACTCCAACTTCTCCAGAGGTGTTTGCTCTCAATACTTACGCCACCAAAGTGGGGTGGGGGACTTAGACTGATCCAAGACCACAGAGGCGTCAGTGAGTTTATCATGCTGAGGAAATCCTTCCTGTACTGCAGCAGATAGGCCACAATTACAGCCATTTTCTTTGCTTCCCAATCGGGGAGGAGACATTCCCGTTCTCAGTCTTTCCAGTTGGCTGGGGAGCACCCTGCAAGCCCAGGGGTCATGGGATCACAGAGAGGCCAGCAAACACGCCAACTTTCTGTGGATGCTGACCGTCTGCAAGGCATTGATTTCCTTCCAGTCCAGATTGCCACGGACTACATGCTGTTCTGTATCAGCGCGCAGGGAGGCAAACGGTTCATTCCACCAGACTGGCCCTCAACATCTGGGGCTGGTGCGTCACCAGGGACAGCACAATCCCAGCAAGCCACGTGGTAGGCAAGAGCAACATTCTTCTTGTTGTTGTGAGCCGCCCCGAGGCTTCGTTGCGATGGGGGCGGCATAGAAATGTTTTAAATAAACAAACAAACATTCTGGCAGATGGCCTCCACCACGCAACTCTCAGTCTGCACGAGTGGCAGCTGAATGAGGCGGCCGTCCAAAACCTCTGCAAGAAATGGGGATGCCATTAGTGGACCTCTTTGCCATGGCCCACAACGTGACGTGCCCCCCGTTCTGCTCCTGGGCTCCCTGGGAACTGCCTTTCTTCTCCAGTGGTGCAGGACCCTGTGCCACACATTTCTACCTAACCCTCAGGGTGATTGCTTTTCCCCAGGATAGATGGGATGGACTGCATCCTCCTCACCCCGTGGTGGCTAGGCAACCATGCTTGACCCAGCTTCTTCAGCTTTCCTGGGGGGAACTTCATCCGTCTCCTGCATTCCCAGGACCTGGTCTCACAGGACTAACTCTTCACCCTAGTGTCCGAACCTTGTTTCTCATGGCCTGGAGAATCACCCTCCAGAGCAGGGGGCTCCCTGACAGCCAAAGCCATGTTCATACCAGGCATGGCACTTAAGCTGTCCACAAGGATGTCCAGCTTGGCAAAGCAGAACACCTTCACAGCCTTCTCACACCAGGAAGTGTTTGATCCTTTGTGGTCACCACTGAGCAGATCCTGTCATTTTTGTAGATCTGCTTCTAGAAAGGTCTAAAGCCCTCCTTGATATGTGTGTACCTGCCAGACTTCTCTTTTCACCCTACAACTGGAGGACCATCAGTTTGTGCACTTCCCCTGTTGTGCAGATTCCTGAGCCTCACCCCCAGCATCTGACCTTGCACCCCAGCATGGAACCTCTTTGTGATGCTAAAGGCTCTCCCGGAAAGAAGCGTCAGGTCCCGGGCTGCAGCTGATCTGCACCTCCCCTCCAGGAAGGTGGCCTTCTTGGGGATGGCCACCTCCGTCCGCGGTGCCAGCGAGAAGCGCCAAACATTTTTCAGGCACTGCTGGCTGGATGTCTGTGCAAGGACAGAGTGTTCCTTTCTCCGGGCAGTCCTCTCCTCCGTTCTCCAGTGACAACAGCATCCCTCTGTCCTTCACCAGTCACCTCTGTGTGTGACGCACAGAGACCACAGAGAAGAGCGGCAGGCCGCTTACCTTTAATTACCGTTCTTTTGAGTGGTCCTCTTTGCGCTCACACAACCTCTTGCTGCTGTACCTTTGACGCCAGGTGCAGCCCCCTCACTCACCACGGGCGCTGTGGCTGGACTGGGTGCATGATTTCTCCTCCCTTCGGTTCTGAGACAGTTGAAGAGGAACTGAGGGGGTGGTGGGGGGGGAGCCTCTCCCCACACTTCCCTGGAACAGGGAGGGAGAAACTCCCTCCCAGTGGACACTTCGCTATGGACACTTCCCCATGATAGGGTCTGCACAGGCACAAAGCCCGTATGTGTGAATGCACAGGTGACCACTCCGAGAACGACAATCACAGGTAAGCAACCTGCCTCTCTCCCTCTCACCAAGCTGGTGAAGAGGGCTTCTCTTGCTGAGCCTGCAGCTTGGTTTGTAAAATTAGGAACAAGCCCCGATCAGAAAATCCTGGGTCTCGTGTGCTTTTCCTTGGGTGGAGTTTCTTCTCCCGCTGGCGGCACTGACTGGGAGTTTGCAGAGGATGGCACAGAAGCATCTACTTCAGGGTTGTGTGTGCGTGTCCATGGCCTGCGTGCTCCATCTTGTCAGCCCGTTCTCTCTCTCTCTCTCTCTCCCTCCTGCCTTTGGTTCTTAAGTCTCCTGGCAAGAGAGAGCATCTCACCGCCTTCCAGAAATGTTGGCCGTTAATACCCAACAACCCTGACTGTTGCCTGTGCTGGCTCCAGCTGAAGGCAGTCATAGGCCCGCAACTTCTGGAGGGCTGCAAGTTGCCCACACCTTCATTATCATGCCGCGGGGCTGTTTGTCATTTCAAGGGGAGTGTTTCTGCTGAACGAGGCCTTCCTCAAGACAGGGCAGTTCTGCTGCAGGTAGCGCTGTAGCTCACAGCCGGACGCAACCTCCTCTTTGGGGCTTTTCCGGCCACGCATCTCTGTTGGGTTATAGAAGTGGTTGCAGGCACAGCAGAGGTATGAAAGAGCTGGTTCTTATGCCCTGTGGGTGGCACTGGTGGCTCAAAGCAGCGGTGGTTCACAGGGCCTTGTGGCCTGCCGCATGACCGGAATATTCTAGAAAAGTAGAAAGGGAGCTGCATCACATGCAGAACTGTAGGCACCCTGGACATGGGTTTGATGCTGACCTTGCAGTTTGAGTGCAACTCTGCCTAAAACATCTTTTCTCAGGCAAATAGGAGAAAACCTGATTGTTCCAGGGGGAGTGAAGACCATTGAAGCTCACGGACGGATGGTGATCCCTGGAGGAATTGATGTCCACACTCGCTTCCAGATGCCTGACCAGGGGATGACCTCTTCCGATGACTTCTTCCAAGGGACGAAAGCGGCCCTGGCTGGAGGCACCACCATGATCAGTAAGTTCTCTATAAAATCTAAATGTGATAGATGAAATTACAGGGGACTTCAGTTCTTGTGACATACAAGAAGAAAGCGAGTTTGTGGCTTCTTGGACACTGAGGGAAGTACCTGGTTGAGACAAAGATGACCCTAGAAAGGGGTGCTTCAGATGCAGAAATGCACTAACACAACCTCGCCTTTAGAAAGGAGGGGAAAAACATGAGCAAAAAATGACTCCTTGGAGACTGCCAAGATTCTTCCGAAAGAGTTCTGTCAGGGCTGTACCACTTGTGACTGCTGTTGCAAGTTCACGTGATCAAACATTTCTCCCTGCCCGTAAATAAATACATTCTACAACAGAGAGAGCTAGCAGTGGGAAAGGTTCAATCAGAATGTCTTTCCCCTCTCCTGCTAGTTTTCTGCATGCAGGGATTTCCCTTTCCCTTATTCAAGGACATTCATACATGGGGGTCCCACAGGTAGTTTGAGGAAGTCCATCCCAGGTGAAGGCCGGTCAGAGAAATGTGTTCTGGGAGAGGACCAGAACAGTGTCTCTTGCCATGTTTCCGTGTTTTTCATGTTATGGTGGGGAATCGGAGGGTTTTACATCTTACTGTGCTGAATGGGTGCCCAAGAAGAGTCTGTACACCCCAAATGGTAGGTGATTGGGAAACTGTATAGCAGTTTGAATGGGTAAAGGCATGGGACAAGGAAACCGCAAGCTGTGCTTCTCTTCCAGAATGGGGAGATATGAGCAATAAAATAAAAACAAATTAAATAGCTGAAATCCCTCCACCCCACTCCTCCCTGTAATGTTGAAATGCAGGGGATGAGGTCTTCACTTCAGGCCTAGCCTGCTAGAGCGCAAGTTGGACCCTTCTAGCCATTGGTCCCAAATTATACACTGTTCCTCCTTTGCCTCTTTGATTCCTTCACCTCAGGGTGATTAGCTGATTAACCTGTTGCTTTTTATAGACTTCCTGGTGCTTGTCTCTCGTAGAAGTGTGAAATGTACTCTCAGGAGCTGGGGCAGCAGCTGGGTTGCTGCAGTCAAAAAAGACTTCTGGAGCACAGAAGTGCGATCCATTAAGTTAACGCCCAGCGTGCAGCTAATTTTTTTAATGCCTTCCAGGTATCCAGATACATAAATAGTTCTGCATCTGCAGAATTTAAGCAAACAAAACTGAGTACATTGGCCTTTGGGTACTGCCAAAAGCATTGCAAGATGTGTGTTTCCGTAGCATTTGGAATTAATTAAGAAAACTGGAAGAACATATGCAGATTTGCATAATTCTCCCCTGCTCCATTTTATACTTGCCTTCATTACAACACGTACAGTAGCAGATAACCACTTTTTAAAATGCAACTCCACATACTAATCACTGGAATATATATATTTTTTAATTCCAGACTTCAGTAATATGTTCCTAGCTTGCATCTGCTTGGGTTTTACAAGATGCACCCTTTGCAATCTTGTTTTTTTAATTGTAGAGACTACTGTGGATGTTTTTATCTCGGGAGCACTGACATCTCAAACTGTTCCTCTCTTCCTTCCTTTCACAATGTTGGAGAGAAAAGGATCTGTTGGTATTCCATATCTTGAACTGCACCGCCCTCTTGCCTGCCATTAGTTTCTTTCAGAGCAATTATAGTGACTTAAAATTACAGCTCGCTGTGACATGCTCCCCTGGCAGCCAGTTGCTTCTGCACTTAATGCCTGTGACTTAAAACCACAAACAGAGACCTGGAATCTCCTCTTTTATCTTCATCAAATTGGATTCCTGCTGGAGGTGAAAAAGCTGTCTTCCTCTGGAGGCAAGAGCCAGGAGTTTGACATCCATGGCTTTGGAAGGAGTGCAGAACTGGGCCAACTCCCAGTTACTGCAGGTCCTTGGGAAGACACTCTGGGGGGCTCCCCTCCCGGGCTCCCATCTCCTGCCGCTTCCGCTCACCCCCACTGTTGTTTGGGCCAGAGGAGAGGCAGGGGACAAACAGGTTGTGGTAGCCAAGAGAAGTGCTAGTGGACTCTTCTAGGGAAGGGGCTGCTGGGATGTATAGATGGTTCTGTGCAAGGGGCTCCTCTGGGCATTCCGGCCTCCGTTATTGTGATTTTCCTTCAGTCAGAAGTGAGCAATGGCTCAAAACCTGGTTTGACCAGGAGATCAAATAAGCTTTCCACACTCCCAGCTTCTGCTTGTTTGTCCGGTTTGTATTTTGTCCCCTGTTCATTTTTGCTTTGGGCCTCACCCAGCACTGAAATGCAGCCCCTGGAAGCTTCCGTGTAATGGAATTTGGTCCATGGCCTGAAAGTGTTTCTTCATTTCTCCACTATTTTATTTATTAATCACCTATCTACTTCATATGTTTATATCCCATCTTTTTCCCCTTCCAAGATATGCGGGCGTGGTGAGGCGAGTCCAAAACCTCTGAAGCGGGCCAGACAAACGGGCACGGCAGGCTGGATCCGGCCCGCGGGTCGTAGTTTGAGGACTCATGTTGTAGTATATGGTGCACACTTTTAACATCGTCCTGCTGATTAAAAGTCAGGATTTATTCTTCCCTTGGAATAGACATCGCATTTAAAATTCCTGAAATGGCCCTTACATGAGGACAAATGAGGCAGATTGCAGTAAAGATGGACTCATCGGGCAACACCTGGGGAATTTGTCTGCAAAAGGGCATGAGTCTGCCGGCGGGTTGCACCGCATGTTACAAGCGGGAAGGTTGGGTGAGGGTTGTCGGGCCGCGAAGGGTTGTGGGGCTGCGAAGGGTTGTGGGGCCAGGGCGGACAAGCACCTCCATTCTGACCCTGCCAAGTATTGTAGATCCCCTGATGAGGCCAAACTATGGATCAGACACAGTGGTTCGCTACCAAGAAAGTGGCCCTTTTGGTACTGGCCCCTCTTCTTTGGAATTCCTTCCCCAGATTTTTGAAGTGCCTTAGCAGCACAGGCAATTACGGTTCTTTTCAGCAAAGCCTTATTTATGGTTTTATTCTTCTAAGCTTGTTTATTTTTCAGTGTTTCATTTGATTCTATTGTTTTGTTGTTCTGTGGGTATTCCAACTGCATGCTACATATATTGCTTTGAACTTGTAGTAGAAAAGCAGCAACTACATTTTTTAGATAAATAAAATGAAACTTTATTGCTCCATTCTTGCATCAAATGTTCCTGCTAATCTATAAAAACATGTATCATTTAACTTGCATGTGTATGTTCCATAACCCAATTCATTTTCATAATCTGCAGAATGAAAGTACTTGGACACTTGCAAATTTAGAGAAATGAACGTGCAAAGGGCTTTCGTTGCCATTTTGTTTGAGAGGAAGGAGACTAGAGAACTAGAAAAAAGGTTGTAGCCCAAATGTGTGAAGAATTGCATCTGGCAGACATAATCTCCTGGTTTTTGTTAGCTTTTCCCCCAGTCCGCAAGGTTGAAATGCCTCTGATAAGGCTTAGCTTTTGGCAGAAAGGGCCTAAATACGCTTGGGATTTTGTGCGCTTGGTCCCACCCCCTTCCTTCTAGCTCTGCCCTCCACTGCAATGTGGCTCCCCAAAACTGAGCTTGGCCTTCGTGGTGGAAGAGCCTTTGTGTTGTGCAGCATCCCCTGCTCTGATTGATGGGGGCTTATGGAGGTTTTGGATGGCCTGAATGTCTGAGTCCTTTTCATCTGGAAGAACCAGGAACCGAAGATGGGAACTCGCGTGTGCAGTGCTGTCAAGGCAGCGATGGGCCTTTTTGATTCCCCACCCAGACTCCAGTTTGTTCTGTAAGGTTTCAAAATAGGTGTGATGGATTATGTAAATTGGGTTCTGTCCCAGTTATGGCAATGAAATGCAAATTATTGCATTCACGGAGATGCCATGCCAAGGAGCAGTGACATTCCAGCTTATGCATAGTTCTGTTATTGGTCATATATTGACGAAGTTGACTGTAGATGATGGAAGTCTCTTTCTCTCCCTGTTCCCACGGCAGGATAAGGGAACCTGTGACCTTTCATATATTGTTGGACTCCAGATCCTCTCAGCTGCAGCCAGTATGGAAGGAGAAATCGGGGATTGTAGTCCATTAACATTTGGAGGGTCACGAGGTCCTTAATTTTTGTTCCCATTGATAAAATTCTGCAAAAAGCCCCAGTACTAATATTGATAGGATTGTATTGCATGGGGATCATTACTGGTGCATTGGAGGAAAAAAGCACAATGTACAGGAAGAAACTTGCTGCAGCGAATTGCACAATTCCATCAGGATCACTACTTTTCTGCCAGTGTTTTCCTCAGTGCACAGATCCCCAATATGTACATTGTAAATGTCCCAGAGAACCTCATCTATTGGGTGGCATAGAAAACAAATAATAAAATGAATAAAGGAATTAACATATGACACACTTGATCTACTAGAATATATAATGCTGCGTTCAAAATTGGAAATATAAAAAGGATTCTTAATCATTTGGTTCAATTTGTTGTTATTTATTAAAATAATGTATAAGTTACTTTTCTGCAGACCAGGGTCTTTCAATTGCATTACAAAAGAAAGAGCAATATAGGCAATGAAACAATATTTTAAACAAGCCCAGTAATACAGAAATCCACCAGAATCCACCAAATGCCAAATAAAACATTTAGGAACCAAAACCCAGATGTTTGGGGACCTCTGGGGAGGAGAATGTAAGAAGCATCTCTCGGCTCAATCCTGAATAGCACCAAGAATATCCTTCCAAAATAGAAGGTGATCTTTGGATTAAACTCAGAACAGTAGTTAAGCACCAGGTTGGTCACCACAGGTGCACAGCGATTGCGTGGAGGCGAATGACTGGCTTGGCAGAACAGGGAGGCCACCCTCTCTTTCCTTTGTGCCTGGCCCAGAGCCCACATGGGCTTCTAGAGGAGGGAATCCACATGTTCTGCATCCTCTGTAAAAAGGCAGTTTCTCGTCCCTCCTCTGCCATTCCATAGCAGGCTCCTGCGAAAGTTTTTAGCAGGCGAATCTTCCTTATGGGTTTATTTACAAGGC